AAAGTTACATTTTTGGTGCAAATTACTTTTAAAATGCTGTTTTTATTCAATCAAATATACAAATATGCTGCTTTTCTCTGTTTTATGTAATTTTTAACACTTTTCAGTATTTTACAGATAATTAGGACATTATTATTATCTAGCTGCTGCGATTGGTCGACTCACGTTAGTCACTCAAGAATAAAATCATCTCTAAATCTGGGAATTATAATTATTAATTCATGCTTTATTGATGATATCGTGGTGTGTTCAGGGCCGGCTGCAGGATGGAGAACGTTCAGAAGAACATCGGCAGCAGGAAGTTCGCCTTCAGCGGCGTTCAGCTGCTCACTTTCCCCAAACTGTACCGCCCTCCAGAGGGAAGCTTCGGATAGAAACTCTGACCGTTACTTTATTTATGTACAGATACTTTTATATAATATCACCAGATGTTGGTTTTATCTTGTAAAGTGTGTGTTGTTGTTTTATATATGTGTCTGTCAGTGTCCCTCTGTGCAGGTGTTTGATTCACAAACATGTTTCTGCATTAAATGAATACTTGATTTAATCTGATTTATTTCTGTCTTATTTATTAAACCACATGGCGGGTGATGTTTACTGGATTGACACATCTACGTTTTATATTATATTATAAGTTACACTGCAATAAAGATGCAGAGAGCCACGTTGAGTTTAAAACGTGCACATTTGAAGTTAAAGGGGACCTATCATCCAAAATGCACTTTGTAATGTATTTTATACATAAATATGTGTCCCCGGTGTGTCGGGGAACTCACGCAGCGTCAGAAAACAAAACCCTCTCTCTTTTCCTCCGTACCCAAATCTCTAAAAACGGGGCTACATCGGAGCTGATCCAGATTTGCGTCCGATATGACGTAATATCTGAAATGTGGACCCACGGCCCTATCAGAAACGTTGCTATCAGAAACAATGCCCGACTGTTTTGGACGTTATATGGTCGGTGTTTACATTAGCATCGCTAACACTCAGAGCTAACCTGTACTGGAGAGCATGTGTGTGAAGAAGCAGGAAGTAAAAAGGAACTCACCTTGTGGTATAACCGGCAAGAGAGAAAGCCTTTGAGCTCCATACTGTTTCAGAAATAATCCTTGATAATCCATGATGTGGTGTTTCATCACGGCAGTATTTAGTTTAGACAGTAGCTGCCGGGTCCCGCATGAGCTCCGACCCCTCACTTTTTATTATCAAATTTTTAATTTTTTTTTAAAGCTCTATACCCCAAATCAGCACTTTTGAAACAGGAAGTGAAATAGAGGGATGTGATGCATGGCTAAAATGGGTGATCTGTTTGGTATTTTGAGCAAAACACTTAATATGCATGTTTTTTATATATTTGTATACATCTGAGACCTATGCTATTGTCTAAAATTAGCATGATAGGTGACCTTTAATACAACTATTTAAAAAAGTTATTACTGCTATCCGTAGAGCCGTTAGACGCTATTTTCTGTTTGTAGTTTATTGACATTTTTATTGAAAATGTTCTGGTACATGATATAAAAACACTTATAGTTGATTATTTATAATTGTTTAAGCTTTCATTATCATCAAAATGACTGAAATGCACGTTTGAATGCTTTGACTTCTAATGGAGTATTTTTCGACTATTTTATTTCAGTCTTTACTTTGGTAAAACAGTAAAAGTCTGGCGTGTTTCTGTTTGTGTGTTCAGCTGCAGTCCCTCAGCCGGGCCGCTAGAGGCGCCAAATACACTCAGAAAGGAAATAAAGAGTGCTGAACTTCAAAATAAAAGAATGACTTTAATTTGTTTAGTGGAAAACTTTCTTAAAATCATAAATTAGTGCTACTGTGTACTTCTACTCCACTACAGTTCAGAGATAAATGGTGCACAAGATCTGAGTTCTTCTACTTGTACTCAAGTACACGATAAACATACATAACACTCCAGCTTTTATTTTGAAAACCCTACCCGGAAGTGCTATGCTCTGTTAGCATTTGCTTCACACATCGGGCCCAGTCAAAACAAAGCAGCTGTTTAGCTCCGCTGCTGCGACCAGATTAAAAAACCTTTAACTGATTATTTGTACCGTTAAATTAACAGTAAATCCATGCTCCGGTGTTTCTCTTCGGTCCTTTGAAGTTGAGCTGTTTTAACGGTCGTTTCTTTCGGAAGCTGTTGAGGATTTTATAGGAGCTGTTTGTGTTCTCGATTTGGAGGCTAACGGGCGGAGGCTGAAAACACGGGGAAACTGTGAGGAATACAAAAGAAAACAAGGGGGAAAGGGGGGGAGATAGAAAACAAGGGGGAAAGGTGATACATATAGGTGGAAACACGAGAAAAACTGAGAGAAATAGAGGTGGGGAAAGGGTGAAAATAGTGTTCGAAATCACGGGAAAACGGTTCAAATTGAGTCGGGAAAACCGTGAGAATCAGAGGCAGAAAACTGAAAAATAGAAGTTGTAAACAAGACACAAACGGTGAAAATCGAGACTGAAAACAGGGACCAACGGTTAAAATAGAGACCGAAAACACAGACAAACGGTTAAAATAGAGATTGAAAACAGGGACCAACGGTTAAAATAGAGACTGAAAACCCTGAAAAACTGTGAACAATTGAAGCTGTAAACAAGGATAAACGGTGAAAAGAAACCACGGGAACACAGTGAAAACCAGACTCCAAAATCAGCGGTTGTCCTGGCTAACTTCCCCCGGATTACCCCCTCTTGTCCCCGGATGATGATGGTGGAGTGAACCGGCCTCTCCCGGTTCTCTCTCCCCGGGTTTAGAGCACCATGGCCCCGGTTTCTCTGGTGGCCGCCTGCCGCAGCCTGGCTCTCTCCACCTGGCTGCTCTCCTTCTGCTTCGTCCACCTGCTGTGTCTCGACTTCACTGTGGCCGAAAGAGAGGAGTGGTACACGGCCTTTGTGAACATCACCTACGTGGACCCGGCCACCTCGGAGCTCCGGACCGAGAAGACTGAGTGCGGTCGCTACGGCGAGCACAGCCCGAAAAAAGAAGCCAGAGGGGTGGTGGTTCTTCCCGGAGGTCCACAGGACCGGCAGGCCTGCGACCCAAACACCCGCTTCCTGGTGCCCGGTCCGGCCGCCTGGGTGGCTCTGATCGCCCGGGGAAACTGCACCTATAAGGACCAGATCCGCCATGCAGCCGCTCAAAACGCGTCCGCGGTGGTGATCTTCAACGTGGGCTCCATCAACGCCAACGAGACCATCACCATGCCCCATCCAGGTACTTTAATTTGTTTTTATTATTATTATTTCACACCATCACCATGCCCCATCCAGGTACTGGTGTTATTGTTTATCTCTATAAGAACTCAGTTGAAGAAAAGTCAAATATCAACATTATTTTCTAAAAATATTTCCAATTTTTTCAACAATTTAACTACTTACTTTTTTCTGGAAAATGTACAACTTGTTCATAGTATTATGTGTTATTTCTTGGATTGTAACTTTTTTTTTAAATTACTACTACTTTAAAAAAATAAATACTATCTTTTTATCTATAAGGAGTTCATTGGATTCCTCCTAAAAGTTACATTTGTACTTTTGCATCATACAGCTAGATTCCGTGTGTAAACTGACTTGATAGTAAACAATGATCTGTGTATGTGCACATACTTCCCATATGTTCAGTGTATTTACCATCACCATGTCCCACTGGTTTTATTATGTATCTCTATTAGAGTGCAGTTAAAGAAACGTAAAAAATCAACATGTTTTTATACAAAGATTTCGACTTTGTCCAAAAAAATAATAATTCTTGGAAAAAGTACAACCTTTCTCCTCGATATATGACCTAACTGCAGTTCGCTGAAGGTTTATTACTTAACATAACTAAGATGTTTATCTCACTTTTTAGTAGAAAAATGTAGATATTTTTTATCCAATCATCAGTATATTTCTCTTTAATTACCAGAACTTTATTTTCTCAAAGAATCAGGACTTTTTTAATGGAAAATGTACAACTTTTTTTCATAGTATTACAACCTTTCTCTAAGATATATGACCTCCATTCCTATCTTTAAAGGTTACTTAAGGTTTTCACTTAAAATAACTAAGGTGTTTTCATCCAGTCGTGTTTGTTATCTCTAATGTTTAACACTTGTCTCAACATTTGACCGTTTTTTACCATTTTTAGGATGTTTATTTCTTTAATTAAGAATATATTTGGGTCAATAATTGTAATTGCGATTTATTAAATGCGATTATCCATCGACTTTGAAAACATCCATTTCTTGGAGAAAAAAATGTGAACAGTATATTTTTAACAGTCGATTACAATTCAACTGAAAAACCAAAAAAAAAAAAAAGTATTAAAAAAAAGCAATAGTAATAATAATACAAAAATAATCGTTTTATTTCGATTACGTTGTTTTCGTAATCGTTGCAAGCCTTAATCGTGATTAAAATATGATTAATTGAGCAGCCCTACTCTAAAGTTAACACATGAAACATTTAGAGTTCCTAAACACTTATTTTCTGGATTTCTCCTAAAAAAGCTTTTCTCTTGACTCTCCATGTGAGCTTTAGCGACATACGGCTGAATGCTTAGTGTGAACAGACTTGATAATAAACCTGATTCTCATCTGTTCACGTGCAAACACTTTCTCTCTCCTTCCTCTGCAGCGGTTGCATATCTATTCCCTTTGAGATAAATATTTTTTATCTTCTTTCAGCATTTCTTGCTCAGATCCTGTTGAGGTTTGTTAGTCGCTCGACTATCGATGCAATATGAAGAAAAGTTTCCTTTGTGAAAACGTGACAGAAATGTTCTGTTTTCTGACCGAGCCATCAGAAACTATAAATGACTGCAAAAGTAAAAAATCGTAGATGGAATAAAAACTAAATACAAAAACATTCATCCATCTTTTCTTTGATTATTTGATCCTTAATGGCAGTTTTAGTCGAGAAGAGTGAGCGTGTGCTGCAGCATTTTCGCCCTGCGCTGCAGATATATTCACATATTAGAGGTATTCTAAGTCTCTATTAATAATGCATATTCCTCCTGTTTGATCCACGTAATAAATACAGAGCTTCCTGCTTTTAAAAACTCTCCTCTGGTTGGGTTTCTGTGCAGAGAGCGAGCTTTATGGGGACGAAGTGTGTTCTTATATAACGAGGGAGAGCGGAGGTTTTCCATCTTTCACTTTAAAGAGTCCTCTCCTGCTGATGTTCAGGTGTATATCAGTATGTAGTGTCTCTACTTTAAAGAGTCCTCTCCTGCTGATGTTCAGGTGTATATCAGTATGTAGTGTCTCTACTTTAAAGAGTCCTCTCCTGCTGATGTTCAGGTGTATATCAGTATGTAGTGTCTCTACTTTAAAGAGTCCTCTCCTGCTGATGTTCAGGTGTATATCAGTATGTAGTGTCTCTACTTTAAAGAGTCCTCTCCTGCTGATGTTCAGGTGTATATCAGTATGTAGTGTCTCTACTTTAAAGAGTCCTCTCCTGCTGATGTTCAGGTGTATATCAGTATGTAGTGTCTCTACTTTAAACAGTACACACTGACATGCCTCCATGCTTTA